GAAAGTTTGTATTTGCTGAGAACATCGACACTCTATTTCTTGATACGACGTACTGCGATCCACAATACACCTTTCCTGATCGAGTGAGTGTCAGTAACGAAGCTGTGAAGATTATTAAAAAAACAAAGGAAAAAACGTTGTATGTGGTTGGGACGTATCTCATTGGGAAAGAAATATTTGTTGAAGAAATAGCACGACAGACGGGGAAGAAGATTTGTGTGAATGAACAAAAGATGGTGACAATTCAATTGAGTCAAAGAGACTTGAGTTTGTATACGTTGGAGAAAACTGATTTGGAGATGAGAAACAGTGGAATTGAAGTGAGCTTGAGTGGGCTGAATGTCGAGTTAGATCAAATCAAAGACAAGTTTCAACGCATCGTGTTATTCACACCAACGGGATGGGCGAAGAAGTTGGTATCTAAAGGCAGTTTTGATGTGAAAGAGTATCAGCTGCCTTACTCGGAACACTCCAATTTCAACGAACTTGTGGACTGTGTAAAATGCGTGAAAGCTACACACATAGTGCCTACTGTTGTTAACCCTGACCAAGACCCTAAACAGCTTATTGATTTAATTATCACAAACACTAAACCAAAAGTGGGGACATTGGAATACGCATTTCAAAGAGCCCGAAGACGGTCTTCTGAACAACTTTAATTGCTGTACTTCCACTGATTGATTTCTTTCTTGTTCTTTTTAATAATATTACTATTATTATTATTTAGTATAAAGAGTTTAATAAAAATAAATAATAAAAATACTATATTTGTATCTCATTTTTATCGAAATAGTTAAAAATAATAATAAAACTATTTTAATAACTAAACAAGAAGAGTACAAATAGTAGAATTAGGCTATGTAAATTCTATGTAGATTTTATGCGACAACACATCCGAGTTTTTTCATCAGTTTTGACTTTTTTGATCTCTTCTTTTTCTCGACTTGCTGAGGAACTTCTTCTGTTTGTGCCTTTAAAGCTTCAGTCTCTAAAATGTCTTTCAAGACTATTTGGTAGAGTTCACAAATGTTTGTCTTCTTCTTTGCTGAAGTTTCAATGAAATTGATGTTCTACGCCTTGGCTAATTCTTCGGCTTGTGATTTAACGACCTGTCTTTGGTCTTCAAGATCCAATTTGTTACCAACTAAAATAATTGGTATATGTTCATCAGTCTCTTTCTCCAAGACTCTATATATTCTTTCACGTGTTTCATTTGCTTCCAAGAATGAAGAAGTCGATGTGATTGAATACACAATAACAAACCCATCTCCAGCACGAATATATGTGTCTTTTAACGCATCAAACTCT